ACTTGTTGAGAAGGTGGGTGCCAAAATCTTCCGCGCAACCTGCTCCGTTTCTTGCCTCCTGCTTTTTTTGAATGGCATCACTTCTTGAGCTGCCTTTAATTAAGTAATTGTGCTTTATGTTAATTTGAATCTTTTTTTACTATATTCTCTTTGATTCTGAGCCATGATTCATTATGTTTCATTTGATTTCGACTAATATTGCCTGACCATTTATGTTCTTTTTGTAGCTTGTATATCTCTCAAATTATGATTCATTAAACAGATCTCAATGGTGATAAATTGGGAGTTTAACTTTGGACTTTACCTACCTAGTTCATTCTTATGCTTCATTTTGCTCCAGCCCTCTTATAAATTTGATTTCTTTCCGCATTTTAGTACTATAAAAACACAACATTTTACAGAAGTGGTCTACCCTCGTTTTCGCAATTTGACCGTGTTGTCAGGGTGGCTTAGTTGGACGCACCTTATCCAAAGTCCTCTGCTATAGTAGCTATCCCAATACCCAGCGTCAGACTGTGGACGTCGTGCCAGCCACATGGCCGACATCGTTAGTGAGCGTTGCTATTCCCTGCACCAAGCTACAACCTGTCAGAGATAAGTGAAGTCAATCCCTTGGCCAAACTTTTTTCCGAAACGATTATTCTATCACTTTTCTGTCCTGGCCCATCTATCTACTCCCCTCTTTTCGCACTCACCTTATTACTATTATTTATATATATTACACTCCTTAAGAGATGTGCCCTTTTCTATACTTCATCTCATCACCTGCTGCCTCTAAAGTAGATTTGTCAATTGGGCTATAATGCCGAATTTCTGTGACGGTTGCGATTATCCTTCGCCCTATTCACGTGACCACCAGGCCCCAAAGTTGTCTATTCGAGCCGACTTCATTTATTGAGGACGTCTTCGCTTGATTTTCGAAACTTTCTTACCACCTTTCTCCTCGCGATCCCTTTTTCTCTCGTTTACAATAGCTCTTTGATCCAGGCGTGTTCTTTTTCCTATCTTGCTGTATCTTTATTTTCTCCTAGTTTGCCTAAGCAATATGCAAGGTTGATCAAGGTATTGACTTGACTTGACTTACAAG